CACCGAACGGCGCTTAAATCAATATTATCCAAGAAAAATGAATCTCAACAGTGTAGGGATTCGGTTAGGGACGAAAACTGGAACGAAATTTATGAATTATGTCGAATTCAACTGCAAAAATGTTATAATATTCACTAGCATTATTCACAATTTCTAAATATTTGACTCTAGATTTCTTTTTTGATAACACAATCTGATTTTAATTTTCCAAAATAATTTAGAATGATGTCTTCACCAAAATTTACACTGAAAAAAAATAAATAAAAAAAATCCCATTGTTGATGAGTTGTATTTTAGATTACTACAAGTGAAAAGCGCTACTACTTACATAAAACGCAATTTCTAAACAGAATTCCTCAGCTTCTTGATGAGTAAGGGTTCGTCGAATCCTCATGCGCCACGTGTTGCCCTTGCATTGGTTGATTTATTTAAACGCGTAATTAACTAATTAAAACGTCAATTAATTAAGAAAACCTTGAATTTCCGGGAAATTGCACTAATAAATTTTCTATTAGCAGTCAACTGAATTAGTCCATGACGACTCCACATTCCACTTAAAATATCATAGTCTAATTAATTATTTATTAATTAGTCCAATACAGACAACAAAAATTCCACAAAGGAAACTAATTTTCCTCTTGTCACCACACAAGCAACTTCATCCCATTCGAATACACACGTCTTTTTCCCCACACACACACATATATGTATCTATATATATATATATATATATCTATATATAATGTGCATGAAACTCGGAATATATACACATTAGAGATTTGTAATTAAGTATTAATTATCAATTAGCCATGTCTTTGAGCAATCTTAAATACCAATTCCCAGTTCATCAAATTATATCCCTAAATATAAACACAATCCAACTTGCTCTTCTGATAATAGGATTGATTAAATTCCTCTTGCTCCGCATAATCCTCGACCGAAAAAGGATTTCCCATTTTTTCGTGAAATTTAAATCTCATTTCTTGAGTTCCGATTCAACCCTAATAACCGATAATAATTTCGAGCAATCCCCCGAGAAGAAGAGAGTCGATCATCATGAATACGATAACGATCGTATTTTCTGCAGAGAAGAGACGGAGATTGTTTTAAGAAGCTTAGGAATGTTGATCGGAAATGGTGGCGAAGAAGAGGGATCGAAGAATATTCCGGCGAGATTGGACGTATTCGAGATTTTTGAGGAGGAGAGAAAACCGAGGTTGGATGACGTGAAAGAAGCTTTCGATGTGTTTGATTATAACAAAGATGGATTCATCGATGCGAACGAGCTTCAAAGGATTCTATGCGCTCTGCGTTTGGACGAAGGTTCGGAGATTGAGAATTGCACGAGGATGATTGGTGCGTTCGACGAAAACGGAGATGGATTCATAGATTTCGATGAATTTGTCAAATTCATGGAAATTAGCTTTACTTAATTAGAATTAATTAACTATTCTTTTTTTTTTTTCATTTATTATATTGATAATTGCTCAACTATATATATTATTAGATTTATTTTACAATATATTGTTGATATCATTTATTAAATTGATAATTTGAGAATCAAATAATATGGAATCAAAACATGAGTGGCAAAATGGTAATTAACTTCATTAATTAATTAAATAATAGTCCCTCCGTTCCAAATTAACTGTCGCATTAGGGAGTTTTCCTTGTTCCATATTATCTGTCACTTCAAAATTCCAATGATGCATTAATTACTGTTTTCTCAACTATGCCCTTATTAGTTATTACTCTTAAATAGTTGAGATATAATTAATTACATGGGTATTTTAGTCATAATATATGTATATTTTCTTAAAATCCACGCATATTTATTAATTTTCTTAATATATACGCAACAACTTAAAAGGACAATTATTTTGAAACGGAGGGAGTAATTAACTGATCATGAGCCTCCAACTCCTAAAAAATCTATAAACGTAGGTTTAGCAGCATTAAATTTAAGAAAACCACCGGAATATTCTAATTGGTGGTACTCATCATCAGCAGCACCAAAGGATATTCGCGATGATGCTGATTCCGGCGGCGGGGATGAGTAATATTCTTCTGTTGCGCTCCTCATACTCCTACACCTGTTCCCGCACCCTGTTTAATTATAATCACACTAATTAATTCATCTTCCTGGGCCCCAGAATTGACACGGGCTGACACATTCACACTGCCACGCGGACATACGCACTTGCACACACACGCCCATTGCCATAATCACTAATCACCGGACGCATATTTGGTCGCGTTATCAATCAGCTAAAGACAACCCCGGCAGAGACCTTGCCCATCTGAAGGTGATGACGTGTCGCACAACTATTGGTGGTCAGTTTTGGAGTAACGGAAGTTCTGTGTTTCTGTTTTCTGGCGGTTAAAACATGCCAGTGGTTCTTGACGGCGTTATCCGTCCGTCCAGGAAAAAACCGCCTGGAAATAAAAGCCCATTTGTTGCCGTAAACACTGTGAGCCGCCATTAATCTCTCCTCCTCTTCTTCCGTCAACTCTCTTTTATTTATATTCGGATCCAGCTGGTTATACCACCTCAATCTACAACTCTTACCTTCACATATATATATTTTATTAATTAATTCCTCATCACTCAAATTTAATCAAATAAAAATAAATAATTACGTATTAATATTATACCCGATCTAGATGATAAGTGCTGCAGCTTTTCGGAAATGAAATTCCAGTTGTGAGGGCCGTACGCGGCGACGAGTTCTCTTAGCTTTGCATCTTCACAAGGTTTCCAGTGCCCTTTACCACAAACTGATTTTTTGTTCATTTTTTCCATTTTTTATTCTGTATATTTTGATGATGGTGGCATGCATGCAGCTAGGGTTTTTACCATGCACCACGTACTGTAATATTAGTTGTCTGGTTTAACGTAACACTGCAACTGCTGCTGCATGGAGAGAGATCATCATATATTTATATTAAAAGAAAAAAAAAGGTGTTTTATAATTAATTTAATTTAATTTTAATAATAATTGGCACAGAAATCTACACGATTGAGTCATCGATCTTTCATCTACAAAGGGGAGGGCCTGGTTTTAGTAGTGATAGGCCAAGTACTGAACCTGACCTCTAATTTGACTTGTGTTTCAACCTAGCTTCTTAAATGCTATAATATTATAATATATATAATAATTATTATAGACCAATAATAATAATAATATATTATTCTTATTAATAATAATTAGCAGACATTTATGATTTATGACCAGAAATGGGTGCAGGTCTCACAAATTACAGTTGGAAGAAAATTCTCAGTTTTGAATCTTGCCCTAATTAGTGACCTATATTGTTATAAAGATCTCAAAATATCATAGGGGTAATTTAGGTATTTTATTTCTTGAATTTTATTTATTAATATTTAATAAAAAAATAACTTTAAACGAGAGCTATTGATTTGAAACTTCTTGTCAAAATGAATTATTAATCCAAACGAACTCAATAAAATTGTTACTTTAATTATATATGTGGAAATAGCTTATGAGTTAGTTAAGGTAGGTATGTTAGTTAAACTTTTTCATTCATGGAATTATACTAATGAATTCATTCTTATTTAGTTTTAGTTCTATGTTAGACATCAATATTAACTAAATGGTTTATTCTAATTAATTTACTACATAGTTAATATATAGGGGCTAGCTGCATGTGTAGACCTCAACTAAAAATAAAATTGGGTGCATTGAAACAAGCCCATAAGTGGAAGTGGTCCAGGGGAGCAGGACCCTCCTTAATGTAACCCCCTTAACTTAGCCCAATTTCTAAAAAAAACCCCAACCTATATGTAACTACGTGCCGAAATCCCCCTGGTTGGCTTTATTTTTGTCTTACACCAACCCTCTTACTGTGTGTTTGTGTACGTAATTTTTTTAATTCTAGTTATTTCTCGAAAAATACTGGTATAATCCTGCAGATGTTGTCGGGATATTGAAGGTAGCCATGCACATTATATATTATATTGTTTCAAAAATGTCTATAATATATGTTATGATGGTTCATATTAGTAATCGAACAAGTATATTAACAGTGCAATGTGATGTTGAAGGAAAATATGTTATTGTCGAAGGCATACCAAGATCACCTATATTAAGAGGCTGCTCTTAGGGGTAAAATCATACTGTATTGGGGTGGGTGTAAGAACAAAACAAACTTTGAGAGGATTTTGGTAATTACGAATGATTGAGGGTCTTTTTGTAATTTAGCCTAACTTTAAGGGTGTTTTTGTGATTTAAACTATTAGTTATGACATAGACTTTGAGTTAGGCTCTATCTTTCCTGACACATTTGACCCAAAATTCAATAATACAGTAACAATAAATAAATAAATAAATAAATAAATTGATTGCTTAAAATTATTAAATATTGGGCTTTGCACTTAAAAGTTTGGCCCATAACCCAGCTGAAAAAACATTAAATTGGGCCATACACGTGGCAATATATTGTGGGCTTTTGCTACGATTATCCTATTTTCGGCCCAATGTTTTTTATTTGTTATTAATATTTGAATTGTAAAACCTAATTTTGATTTTGATAAATGACTTTTGAACTTGATGGGTTCACTTTGGTAGGCTAATTATTTTTAGGACAAATGTACGTTGCTTTACAAATTTAGGTGTTAATATTTTGATGAACTAAATTTTACATGTGAATTTTTTATTTTTTATTTTAATAAATAAACGTCCTGAAATAAAATTCTGGATATTTGTCCCACCCACAATGAAATAAATGCAATATAAGTTAGACCATCTCCAATGGAGATGGGGGTGGGTAGGGGTGAGGAGGCAAAACCACCTCCAATGGAGGTGGGTAATGGGGGTGTGGGTATGGCTTGGGTATGGGTGGGGAGGAGGGGAGGGGGTGTTTAGCTTGAGCTGCCCCCTTCCAGCTCACTTGCTGGAAGGGGGCGTGTGCCCACTCTCCATTTACTTTTTTTTTTTTTTTTTTTTTTTGTTTTTTTTTCTTTTTTCTTTGTTAACCGATTGTTTCTTTTTTTTTTTTTTTCTTTTCTTTTTTTGACATGTCAAATTTGTTTATTTTTATTTCTTTTTCTTTTGTATTTATTTTAGTATTATATCATTATTTTATTTTATTTCATTTATTTAGTTACATAATTTAATATCACATAATTTCAATAAAATCAACACTTTGTAAATAAATACTTTTATTTTTTTTCATTTCTTTCTTTTATTTTATTATTTCCTTTTAAATTATATTTTTATTCGTAATTTTATTATTATTTTATTTTGTTTCTTTATTTGGTTTTATTTTATTTTATTATTATTATTATTATTATTATTATTATTATTATTATTATTATTATTATTATTATTATTATTATTATTATTATTATTATTGTTGTTATTATTATTTTATTATTATTATAGTGGTGAGAGTGGGGATTGGAAAAAAAGTAATATAAGACCGAACGGTTGGAAACGACGTAGGTAGAGGGAGGGGGAGGGGGATGGGGAGGGGAGGGGGAGGGGAGGGGAAAACCCCCCCTCTCCATTGGAGATGCTCTTAGGAAGCTTTTTCGTGGAATCCTCCTATTGACAGAATGAAACGTGACAATTGAATTTATGGTATGATTTACAAAGTAGTACCGGGCCATTTAAATTGGACCACATTTGACACTGACACTTTTTGTCATCGTACCACTTTCTTCCCCAACAAATACAAATTATTAATTCATTGCTCTACTATTTTTTTCCTCAACTTTTTCCCATCTTTTTATTTATTTATTTATTATTTATTTGGCTTGCTGAAAAATAATTGTCATTCTTGAAAACGAAAAATAAAATTGGGACCAGAAGTTAAAACAATTAAAATTACTTTAGTCTTGAGTAATAGAAAAACAAATATATATATATATATATATATATATATAATTGAAAGAGAACAACGAGAAGAACCACCGACAAAGTTGAGTAAGAAAATAGAGTTACAATTCATAAAAAGAAAAACTAAATTAATCAAATGTAACTCCAATTAAATTGATGGCTGATGCATATTGCACATATAATGTAACAAATATATTTAAATATGTTTTAACAAAAACAAGCCGACAATAAAATCATCAGAACTTAAATTTATTACCTAAATTCATCAATTATTAACAAAATTGAAAAACTGAATTATTTACATTACATAAATATAAGTAATGAATAATAGGTTGGGTGATGATGAGTCAATGGAGTTGTAAATATGTGGTCAGGTCCTTGTTCTGAGAAAACACTGTTTTGCAACCATACTTATCAATGCAACCAAACACCTCCAATAAATTATGTATTTATTCCTATCCTCATATTATTAAACAAGAAAATAATTTACCACCACCAAAACACAATAAGTGTACACATAAAATAAAAGCGTAAATTACGAAAAACCCCTCAAGTTTGGGTAAGAGCAACCAAACGACATCCCATCAACTATGAATCTACTTACACGTTCATTATTGTGGTGTCAAATTTAACATAATCTTCTAAATTTCGTGGAATGTTATCTTATTTTTTTCTTGTTTTGTACCATAGTCTGATATTTAAAAGTCAAGAGATAGATCTTGATTATCATTTTTTTTTCAAAATATGGAGCTCGAATAGAGTAAAACGGTTACAAACTGACGAATATTCCATATAATCTAAAAGATTCCACTAAATTCGACACTGCAAAAGTGGACGTGTAAGACGATTCATAGTTAATGAAAGTGGTTGTAATTACCTAAATATATGGGGTTTTTTCGTAATTTAATATTATTAATTCGAGGGGTGATCGTAATTTAGCCTAAAATGAATTGATTGAGAAAAAAAGAGAGATAATAGAGAGAGTAATTAAGTAACTTAATACATATATTTGCCCATCCACTTTTACACAATTTCTCTCAGACAATCTCATTCTGAGATTCTCTTCTTTACAAACAAGAATTGTTCATATTGACTTTTACACACAGACACACATTTGCTCGAAATTAAATTACTAATGGTCCAAATTAAGGACAAGGGGCTCTCCTTAAAAAAAATCCCTTTATAGTATCATCCAAGAATTAACTTCCAGCTAAACTAGATCATATGTATTATAATATTATTATAAGTTACAATTTTAAACTTATAAATAATATATTAATCAATTCTTGGTGCATGCATGCAATGCAACATGCTATATAGAGTGTCATTAACCATGGTTAACTAACTCCCTTAGCGAAACTGACCGCCGGTGAACGTCTGACCAAACGACCAGTTCGGAGAGGCAACGTTGTACGAGACGAGTGTTCTGCCATCGCTCGTGGTGACCTTGAAAGAAAGGCTTTGTCCGTTGAGGTAAGAGTTGCTTTGCCAATTTTGCCCCCAGTTTCTAGACATTGGTTGCCACGTGGTTCTTGATCCTTTGATGTACACCGAGTTTACATCGCCGGCGCCTCCGACGTTGGTTATGAGTACGAGATTGAAATAGGAGTGCCCATTGATGCTGAACCTAATCCCACCCCTTCTCCGGCAAGGTACCCTACAATATATAATAAATCCGGCCGTATATTATATTGCATTCATTTCAACCAATCATAAGGGTAAAATTGGAATTTTTCAACAAGAAAAAAGACAACGATGATATGAGTCAGAATTAGCACTTTCGGAAAAAAATATTCCATTTTATTCGAAAGTGAGAAACTAATTCAAATTCTTTTCAGACAGAAATCGGAATTTCGAAAATTGCAATGAAAAAACTTGTTCTGAAGCCAATCGAGCAATCGAGTCTAAGTTAGTATTTTGAGTGGATATATATATATATATATATATATATATATATATATATATATATATATATATATATATATATATATATATATATATATATATGTCTATCTCTACGTGGGTATAAATATGCGTGCGAATCTATAATCCGTATATGTAATAGATACGCGTGTGAATATACAATCTCTATATATGTGTGTGACAAACAAAACCACACAGTCACATTATGTCTATGAACCAACAATATCCGCTTCGTGTCCCCATCACTAAAATCCTATCTTCTCCTCTTCAATGTCCCATATATATACCTAAATATATACTATATATATATATATATATATATATATATATATATATATATATATATATATATATATATATATATATATATATATATATATATATATATATATAAAAAAACATACAGAGAGAGACAGAGATATATATCGCGAGATATTTTGAAATACAGAGAGAGACAGCCCCAGAGAGATATAGGGAGATACAGAGAGACACACACACACAGACATCAGGGGGGAGTTTGGGGGGCTCCCCCCCCCCCGCGGGGGGAAAGAAACTGTGGGGGGCAATATCTCTCGCCACGTGAACACCCCTGTGTGGGTCTATCACACACACAAACAAGATGCGCCTACCGATCTATATATATTCACATACACCTGTGTGTATAGATCTACAGACACACA